ACCATGTTGTTGTTGAAATCATTTTGCCAAATTAATGTAAATGTGTGATGTGTTTAAATCGTTTTAAATAAATGACCCACTGTCGTTGGTGAGTCAAAGATAAACACGTTTCCATCCACATTTTTATTAAATTCAATGCACGTACATTATACAGTCCAGAAAAATGAAAGAATCCGTTTAATTTATGAATATATATCAGCATATGTTCATTCTACATCTGGTGGCCCGTAACAGGTTCATAAAATGGACTGTATTCGCGTAACAATTGAATATCATGTTGGCATGAAAAAGTGCAGAGAATCAGCTGCTGTGAAACGCAGCGTGTTGAGCTGAAATGCTCAGAGAAAGCTTGCAGCTAGTGATGTTTTGAAAGCTGAAATAGAGTCAATGAGTCTTTATGAAAGCTGAAATTGTACGCCTGTTGTGTGTAACTAAGCTGGGTTTGAGTTAAAATGCTTTATTCTGTTTAAACTGTGGTCCGGACGGAGGTTCTGCTGCAGACCCGGTTCTGACCTGGCTCGGTTCTGATACGTTCGAACGAGTTGTTTTAAATGGTTGGAAAGACGTTTTTAAGACCGGAGCGCCGTCTCCGTGAAGCTCAGAGTTGATTCGTTACATTTTTAACAGAAAATGGTACATTTTGACAGTTTAAAAGACGAAAAGTTGACCGGACTTGTTCAGGCTAATGTTACACGCTAGCTGGAAAAATGATCCGTGATTGGTTGAAAACGGCCGTGTGGAAAGCCCTGATTGGCTGAGAGACGTGTCTGTCGTCACTAAATCTGATGTCAGCGATGTAAAGCCCACCCCCGTGCTGTTATGATTGGTAGATTCAGTCACGTGACCCGGAAATGAGCTCGGTTGAACCGAAGCCTTTTCTGTGCTTAAAATCACCAAATAAAATTTGTCACATGTCCCTAAAACTCATGTTCATGCAAAGAAGTCGTGCTTGTTGAAACAACGCCACGTTTAAGCTTTAAATCCGTTCAGAAATGTTGATTTGACCGAGTTTTAGCCGAAGCTAACTTTAAGCTAAGCGGCTAACGACAGGATGTCAACAGAACGTCCACAGGAAGTCGTCATAGGCTCCTGCTGGTAGAAAGCTAACACTGCCCCCTCCTGTAAAAACTTGAAATCACAATTTCACTTCGTTTTAGGTTATTTTGGGTGAAATTATACGTGTTTATCCTAATGCTACGGGCATTTTTGAGTTAATAAACGTTCCTCAAGCTGAATTATTACTGTTATCTTGCATTTAAAAAGTGATTAAGGTATTTATGCAAGAAAGGCATTTACCAGGACATTTTTCATTCACTGAATTCCTCGAACGGAGGTGCAAAATGAAAAATTAGAAACTTTTTAAAAAAAGATACGGTCCAGATATTCACAGAGTTGATAAAGTTTACTCATTTGCTGAATAGGTAATACACGTTTAATTGCTAGATCACTAAATAAGAGTAAACTTATCAGAAAAATAAACTTTTCTGTTTAAGTTACCACCTAGAACACTACATATTCTTATTTAATTTTTAAATAGAAGATCATGGCAGGAGAAGAGGAGTATAACAGTTTTTCTGAAGAAAGACTGAAGCTCCTCATAACATTTTTTCTTTTTCTATTCACCAACCTGGTTCAATGAGTAACTGTTAAAATAGCGAATTTCTGGAAGTGAACGGTTAAAAAAAAAAAGCGTTTTTAAACTGATGTTGCTGTGAGACTTTTTAGAAAAATTGCAGGTTTATAAAAATTCAGTGCTTTAGAGTAAAAAACACTGAGAAGCTTGGTAATCTAGTATCTGTTAAAAAATAAGCACATAAAAAGTAACACTGCAGAGAAGCATTTACTTGAATATTCATGAATTGGGGTAAAACCTATGACAGGTGCCCACATTTGAATAAGTTGACTTATAACAGTACTTTTGTGTAAACCCAGAGCTTAAAATAGTGTGAAACTCAATGACACTTGAATACAAATATTAACCTGTAAAATATCTGAAGCTGGCAACTGTTTTAACCAGATAAAGTGCTACACAGGGGATAACCATGACAGGTGTGATAGAAAAAGATTTTGATCCTTATGAGATGAAGGACTGTTTAGAGGATGCGTTAGCACTGCTGACAGGATCCTTACATCCATATGGCAAACAGGTGGACAGCATGAACCCAAAAGAGTTAGTGGACAATCTGATGGAGGTTGCAGAGAGTGTGACCTCTACAGAAATTACAAGGTCAAACTATGAAAAGCTGGCTAAAATGGCAATCTTGCTGAAAGAATCATTCTATACAGTGGTTGAGAAAGCTGATTACCTTGCAATAAGGTTAAACAGTGAAAAAGAGGTGGTTCAGGAAATTGAAGAACACTTCCTTCAATTTAAAAGTGAACACGAAGTCCTCACAAAAAAACATTCTGAACAGATGTTTCAATCACAGCAAGATGCACGTGCAGAAATTGATTCACTGAACAGCAAAATACAGTTACTTAATGCATCACTATCTGAAGCCAGGATGCTAAAGAGCTGTTGTCCAGAGAATACTTTGCATTAAGACGGGATCACGTCGTGACAGTGTCACAAGTTTCCCCCTGCAAAGGTGAAATAGATGTGCTTAAAGCACAACTTGACGAATGCAGACTGGTAAAAGCGGGATTACTCCAACAATGTCTGCTTTTACAAAGTGAATGTCAAACATCACAGGAACGCTTAAAAGCATGTGAGGAGAAACTAGCCACAGCAACAAATAAAAGTTCTGACGTGGGGCGAGTTTGTCTGGAACTCAGAGAAGGCCGTGGACAGAGTCCAGGTCACCCACAACCACCTCAGAAAGATGTTGTTGCACCTCCACATGTGTGTAGAGAAACACCTCCACCCTCACCTAAAGTGGTAGGAACAGACCTGAACAGGTCTCCTCCACCAAACATGCAACAGAGTGCATGGAAACTTCCTCTTTCAATAGATGTTCTGCTAAAACTCTCAAAATATGTACAACGCTTTGTACCTGGACCGATGGGTTCAACTGGAACAAAAGCGTACCTGAAAGATCTTGAATTCAGATTGAAAGGTTATCCTAATGCTACGGTTGAGGATAAGATCAGTCTGATAAGGCTCACTTCGGACAGAGAGGTGTTCACCTTCATCGAGCGTCTACCTGATGCAACGAGAAGGGATTACAACCTTCTGTGTGAAGCTTTGATCAGAGAGTACGACCCCTGTACGAGACCTGCTGGTTTCCCAGCTGCTGACAAGGTCACGCAGGGCAAGAATGAACATCCAAAGATTTATTACAAAAGAATCTTCCAAGCTTATTTTGGTTACAGAAATGAAACCGGAATGGAGGAAGAAGAAGGTTTTAAATTTGTTTTCAGCAGAAATCTCCACACTGACATACGCATGTCAGTACAAATTATGGCAAATTTCAGAGAAAAATCCATCAATGAGATTAAACAGTGTGCTGTGAATGTGTTTGAGGCATGTTCTCATGCTAAGACACCCATAGAGGTGTTTCTTGGTATAAAGGTTAAACTCCACTCCCTAGAAATGGAAGGATGGAGTGCGTCGCCTCCACCTCCTAAAACAGGCGAGAAAAAGCAGTATTTTCAAACTAACAAACCGCGTAATGAAGGTCCACGCTGGGACAGAAAAGCTCCTCTTTTAGAGGATGAACGTGATTATCGTACATGGGGTGTGCGTAGGACGCAAAGATATGGGATCCAAGAGGACCCATATTATCAGGGGAAGTCCGAAAGGGAACCCCCAAAAGACGTACCTAACCCTCCCCCACCTCGGACGAAACGAACCGAGATGATAAAATCACAAAGGTCCCAGGAACAAGGCCCTACACCTCTGAGCTCGGAAGAGACAGA